ATACAAATTGAATTTAAAAATTTTTTTATTCAGTTTAATTTTTTTAATAACTTTCGTATCTCTCTGTCTCTTCAACAGGTTTATAAATCCTGCCTTTGAACATTTCTTAACTCAAAGACAGCAGAAATAACAAAAATATCAGCATATAGGAAGAAGAAGAGAAAGCAGACGAGAATCTATTGTAAAGCACCACCAAAACTGAAGCAAGACAACGACAAGAGCAACACAAGTGAATCAGTTAACAGTTATGAGAGAGAAAGACCACTCACCAAGAAAGATGCTTCCTAGCCCAAAACAGGGCTGTGTTTACCCTGCCTTAGGATTAATACCCACATCGTATATATCACATGTACCTTATGATCTGTCCGCCTCGACGACGGCGGCCATAGCCAGCAGCAGCATGACGACAACAGCAGCAGCGCGCCACCAACAACAACAACAGCAACAGCAACACCAGCAACAGCAGCAACAACAACAATCACATCATGGCAACAAGGCGAAGCGACGCAGCAGCTACGATCAGCCGCTGGACCTGCGACTGGCCCACAAGCGACGGCAGCCCGTCAAGCTGCAGGAGGAGGAGGAGGAGACGCTGGAGCCGCAGCCGCTGGAGGATGAGAACAGCAATCTAATCCTGTTCGCTAACGAGCTGGCGGTGCAGCGCAAGGAGAAGGAGCTGAACAACAATCACATAGCCGCCTCGCTGGCCGACCTGGGCTTCGACATGAGCCGCAAGATGCTGCGTGCGCTGCGCGAGGGCGTCACCGCGTCGCCCCCAGCGCCAGCGCCCAATGCCATTGTCGCTGCTGGCGTGCACTCGACGCTGCTGGAGGCGATGACCAAGACGCTGCCGCTACAGTATCGCAATGTGTTTGCGCCGCCGACGGGCGCGCCAACGGGCGCGACGTGTCCGACGGCGTCGGAGTTTGCGTTTCGCCATCCGCTCAAGAAGAGCGACCTGAGCTGGCCGCCCAGCGAGCAGCAACAGCAGCAGCATCAGCTGAAGCTGGAGCAACTGAAGCTGGACTTGCCCACGGGCACGGCCACGCCTACACCTACGCCGCATCCCCATCCGCATCCGCAGCTGCAGGAATTCCAATCGCGGCAGCATTCGCGCAAGGCCAAGCAGCGGCAGGCGCAGTCCCAGTCCCAGGCCCAGCCCCAAGCTGCTGCGGCTGCAGGAGGCAACTCACTGCCCGTGCAGCGCAACAAGGATCGCTACACGTGCAAGTTCTGCGGCAAGGTCTTTCCGCGCTCCGCCAATCTCACCCGGCACCTGCGCACCCACACGGGCGAGCAGCCCTACAAGTGCAAGTACTGCGAACGTTCCTTCAGCATCTCCTCGAACCTGCAGCGGCACGTGCGCAACATCCACAACAAGGAGCGCCCGTTCAAGTGCGAGATCTGCGAGCGCTGCTTCGGCCAGCAGACGAATCTCGACCGGCATCTCAAGAAGCACGAATCGGATGCGGTCTCGCTGAGCGCCCTGAGTGGGGTCAGCGAGCGCATGCATTGCATTCGACGCTTCTGCGAGAATCCCAATGAGGAGTCCTACTTCGAGGAGATACGCACGTTCATGGGCAAGGTCACGCAGCAGCAGCAGCAGCAGCAGCAACAGCAGCAGCAACAGCAGCAACAACAGCAGCAGCCACAGTCACTGCCATTGGCAACATCACGCAGCTCCGCCTCGTCCAGCTGCTCCGCCTCGCACACGCCCACATCCTCGCATACGCCCACGCAGTCGGAGTCAGCGGAAACGCTGGCACAGGAGCTGCGCCGGCTGCAGACGGAGCGAGCCAAGTCGGGCGACGACAGCAGCGAGGAGCAACCGCAGCAGGAGCAGCAGCAGCAGGAGGAGGAGCAACTGACGCGACAGCTGGAAGCAGAGGCCGAGGAGTCCAAGTGCATATTGCAGCTGAAGAAGACGCTTGCCTCCAAACTATTTCCCACAACAACTACAACAACAACAGCAGCAGCAGCAGAGGGAGCAGCAACGGAAACACCAACGGTCAAGGAGGAGCCCTGAAGGTCCCTCAGCCTCACATCGTAGCCAATCCTGAAGCAGATGACAACAATTTCCTATACGGTAGAAGCGAGCAGCGAAACAACACAAAAAACTTGTTTAGCTGAAATATACATATTTGTATGTTCATATCTTATATATTTTGTATTTTTTAATTTGTAATTTGTATGTTAAATGTTTTAATGTGTATATCGAATTGTACAAACAAGAGAGGAAACGAAAATATTAAGTTGAAGATTGGCAAATGTACTATATCAATTTAGTTATTTAAGCATTGGTATTTTTTGTGTATATATGCAAAGCAACGCGAGACGTATGTACGAAAATAACAAAAACAAGCGCCCACTGTTCAATAAAAAGTTACAAGTTTTTTTAAATTTACTAAAACGTTATGAATTTTCGTTAGAAACTGTTGGGTGCAATAGCGACATCTAGTGCTCGGTAGATGAGCTAAGTGCAACGTTATGAAGCGCCAATAAATGCATGCTTGTTGTGGCGCCACCTGGCGTTATTTGCTCTTAATAATTTTGTAAAGACACCAATTAGTGTTGAGTAGGTAAGTAACAGAGACAAAGCAGTAACACGACGTCCACTGCTAAGGTAAAATAGCAATTGATCCACCCACCATGCCTCAAGATGGTGTGAAACTTTGCTAAAACTTGCACACTTGCACCACCTATAAAGTGTTACATACCAAACAATGTAAACATATTAATTTATTTTGTGTATGAATGCTGTGTGTGTACTGTGCACTGTATTATTACCACTTATCAGTTATTTATTGTTGTACTTAATTTATACCATAACTAATAACACACCTCTCTTCAAGACACTCAGCTACTGATCAGCTGTTAGCATTGAACAGATGAATACTACAGTTTTCTGCGCATAAAATTTGTGGAAGCTATTAAGTTAACAGCTGATCTGCTGTTAATTTCAGTTTGCGTGATAGAGTGATAAGCGTTGTCATAACTAATTCAACACCGGCTAATTTTCCACTGCCGCACCCTTTATCAGTAGATTAATTAAATACAAGTAACAAAGATAGCTTAATAATACTTATAAATTATTAAATAACAGTAATAAACAATTAGTACAAATGGCCCCAAGTTTGACAACAATTACGAATTTGGCTGAGCTAACAGCGCTGAAGGAGCTCCATTTGAAAGATTGGCCCAAGCACTGCGTGGGCTTCTATTGGCTGGACAACTACTTGCGCTGGCTGCAAAAGAATCCCAGTACTAAGTACTTGACATTCTACACACTCGACGGCGATTGGCGACGTGATGGGCTCTTTTTACTACTGGTCTGTATGTGATATGGCTTACCCAGGGCTTAACACGTAATGTTTTGACACTTCCAGCATCGCTACCAATTGTTCTTCAGCAACCTGAGCAGGCAAAAGACACCTGAGCTGTTAACAGCACTAACACTGATGGACTGGACACGTGGCTATAAAGTGAGCGCCATTCACGAGACGCACCACGCGATCTACAAGCAGCTGCTTAGGGAGCATAATCTGTTCATGGATCGCGAAATGAAGACCATTATGTATCGACTGCCCTGCGAGCAGGCCAAAGAGCTGCAAGTGAGCTGCCCGCCGGGCTACTTTCTGGACAACGTACGGCTGGAGCATGCAGAGCTTATTAACGAGCTCTGGTCAGCTAAGCATCCGGGATCGCTGAAGCTCATCCAGCTGCTGATCGAGATGAATACCAATGTGGGATTGTATGAGCAGGAAACTAGACAGCTCTGTGCCTGGTGTTTAAGGTAGGTCGGCGGTAAATAAAGGCCAACCTGATTGACATTTTTCCATTTAGATTGCAGAGCGGCTTCCTGGGCGCCCTGGAGGTGCTACACACGCATCAGCGTCGTGGCCTGGGCTTAGTTGTGGCCGCTGCCATAGCCAAGCGCATAGCCGGCGACTTAAATCACGATGTGACAGCGCTTGTTAATCTAAATAATACGGCCGCATGTAGAGTATTTGAAAAGCTGCAGTTTATGCTAATCAAGGGAGATCATTATTACTGGAGCATGTGCTTGCCCTCGGCAGGGGGCTCACTTAGTTGGCGGATGAGCGAATGATTAGCAGACAGAGAGTAAACAGAAAAGGTCTATTATGTGACACCCATCACCGTATAGCGTTAAGCAGCGTCAGATTAGTATTATCTTACCGGTTGCAGACTTTATAAAGCACAGCCATCGTAATGTTCTATCTTGTAACAAGTTTTCCGCTGAGCGAGCAACAGCCACAGAGATGAAGCTGCAAACTCTAGAAGTACAAGACCTGCGCCAACTGCAGGCGCTCTACAGGCGGGACTGGCCCAAGTATTGCCAGGAGTTCTATAGTCTGAAGAACATGATCTCATTCCTGAAGCTCGATCCGAAGATAAAGCATCTGAAGGCCTACTCCCTGCCGGATAAAACGGCACAGGAGCTGGGTCTCTATCTAATTGTGGTATATATGAGCGAGACACTTTACACCAACCCTGATTTCATCGGATGACTTTGTAGGATCGCTATCAAGTGCTTATGGGTTGCCTGGGTGAATCGTTCGATTTGCTGAAACAGGCCTTGCATCTGCTGGACTGGTCCAAGGGCATTCAATGCACCACTATGCCTAAGCGATACTTGGAACCTGTGCTACAAGTGGTCGAGGAGAAGCAGCTCGAAATCGAACTTCAGTTCTGTAGTATCCTGCACCACCTGCCAGCCAAACAGGCACTGCAGTTCGACATAGAGTGGGATATATCTCTGCTGTCTGTGTGTTCTCTTTTTAAACGGTTTCTTTCAACAGCTGCCCAAAAGGCTTTTATCTGAAATCGTTGGCCGAGCAGGATGCTCGCGTCATTGATCAGGAGTGGCCTTATAGCCAGGAGGGTTCCTTGTACTTCATACAGCGCCAGATACGCATGTGTCAAAGCATGGGCCTCTATGAGGATGACACTCACAATCTGGTGGCTTGGTGCATCAGGTTCATAATGCTATTTCCCATTTATTTGAACTTCTATTTAAGAAATCTCTGCTCCTAGAACACAAGATGGTCTCCTGGGCGCCTTGCAGGTGCGGGTATCGCACAAACGACGCGGCTTCGGCAATCTTATAGTCCGGGCTCTTGCTCGCCGTATTGCCGAGGCGGGGGATGATGTGATCGCCGAAGTCAGCGTCACGAACACAGCCTCTCTACATTTATTCAATAAGTTGGGCTTTCAAAAAATCGATTATTGCAACTGGGTAATAACTCTGCCTGTCGATGGCAGCTTCACCTGGCCGAAAGGTGAATGACACCTAGGAATATCACCTAGGGAATGAGAGAGATATTGTGTGAGGAAGCCGCATATGTAAAAATGTCTAAAAATACTTGCAGATGCTTCGGCATTTATAAACTTGTTAGAAACTGCACATACAAATTAATTTTAAAAGCTGAAAAGCCGAAAAAGTCAGAAATCTAAGAATGAACGCAATACCGGAATGAATATTAATATATATAATTTAATTTGAATAATAAAAAGTCAATTGTAAACTTTAGTTTTTCAGCAAAGATAAAACCATTCCAGCAAGCATTCAACCATATTAAATAACTGTCTCTAATAAATACTAACACAAAAAAAATCTTTCATCGTATGAAAATATCATAAAGCTGCTTCTCTTTATCTCTCACTCTCAACAACCCTCGATTAGCTTATTTTACGATAGGCAAATATTTGTTTTGCTCTCTAACTACTAATTCTTACACCTCTCTTATCTCACTCACTCGCGCTCTTCAAAACATGTTTCATTCCGTCTAATTGCGTTCAGTCTGTCACGCTCACTCGCCTCGGGCAGTCGTCTTTGTGCTTGGCTCTGAGCATGTCGCTCCAATTGGAACGTGTCGACCTTCAGCAGCTGGAGATCTACCAGCAGCATTATAAGCAACAATGGCCCAAATATTGTGCGGAGTTTTATTGTCTAGATAATTTCATAGGTTTCTTTAGAGTGGATCCACAGATGGAGAATGTTAAAGCTTACACGCTGTCCGAGCAGAGGGCTAAAGACGCAGCGCTCTTTGTGATCGTGGTTAGTCATAGTCGTAGCTTTTACACTGATAATTGTGGATGTTAATAACTACGTTTTGTAGGATCGTTATCAGCTGTTTATGGGTTGCTTGGACAGCGGCAAAGAGCTGCTGACGGAGGCGCTGCATTTGCTTGATTGGTCAAGTGGACTGAAATGCAGTTCCATTCCATTTCGTCACATAGAGGCACTCGAGCAGGTCGTCAAGGCTAAACAGCTTAGGGTGCAGTATAGAGACATGACAGACCTATACCATATGCCTCAAAAGGAGGCTGCTGCTCTGGAGGTTGAGTAAGTTCGTCATTAGAACTTAAAATCTCAGCGATCATATGATCTAATGCCTAAATTCTATAGCATACCAGCTGGCTTCTATATGCAGAGTCTCAGTGAGCAGGATGCAGAGCTGATTAATGAGGAATGGCCCAATCGGCATGAAGGTTCCTTGTACTTCATACGACGCCAGATACGCCTCTGCGCGAATATTGGTTTATATGCAGCAGATAGCAACGAGCTGGTTGCCTGGTGCATCAGGTGAGTCACGGAGGCTGCAACAAACAAGGTCAACTGGCTTAGGCCCTGCTCCTTTTAGATTGCAGGGCGGCTACCTGGGCGCTCTACAGGCAACGCATATGCGCCGTGGCTTTGGCAGTCTGGTCACCAAGAAGATCTCTCAGCGCATCGCTGCCCTTGGCCAGGATGTGATGGCCCTGGTGAATCCCCACAACCTAGCCTCAAATGCGATGTTCACCAAGCTGGGCTTCCAAGTAATCGATCAATGTCTCTGGCTGAGAACTGAGCCCGTGGCGGGCGAGTTTATGTGGCCGGACGGGCAGTAAATGCCCGCACCCGGACTCCGTATATTTACATTCGTTACAAATATAATATGATATAGTAAAATACTATTGACTATTGTATATGAATACAACTTTGGTGTACAAAAATATGCCAAGGCCTTCCATATGAACACTCTCAGTCGATATATTATTCCTGCTGCTTACTGCAGCTGCTGCCACAGCCGTTCGCAGCGCTCGTGCAGCTGGGCCGGGCACTGCAGCACGCTCGGCTCCTGCCGCATCTCCTTGAGCAGCTGGCGCACACACTCGAGATCGTATTGCACGTGATAGGCGTTCATTTGGTATCTATGGAAAAGTAAGTGGCTGTTGTTGGTCGTTGATGTACGGCGCTCGGCGATGAATTCCAAAAGCTCTATAAAATCGAGGTAGTTAATGCCAAAGCTGGCCCGCAACATGGTCTGGCAGTGCGCCTCAAAGTTGTCCATCTGTTGGCAGTCCGCGATCTCTCTGTGCACAGCCTGCAGGTTGCTCAGGAGATTACGCCACACCAGCGGCACATTGCACGCATTGAACCAGTTGTGATTGACCGAGATGGTGTCCGTCACGTTCCACACCTGGTGATACCAGCCGCTGGGCACAAAGACAGCCTCGTTGGCAGTTTGATTGATGGTGAAGTAGCGTACGTTGTTCTGCTCCAGCAGCGACTCGTCTATGCTAAAAGGCAGATTTCCTAGACGATCGGCCACCTTTAGTTCCTCACCAGGCGGCAGTATGAGCCACTTCTTATGGCCCACAATGTTTGTGGACCAACTGTAAGAGCCGAAGACATCCGAGTGGAACGACGTCCTGCAGGGAAAAAATGATTAGCGGAATCTACCTAGTGGCTAGCTATTACCTACCAGGAGTCCTTGGGTCCCATGTACACGAAGCGATAGTCATCGCGCTTTTGCTCAATCAGCTGCTCATTCAGCCAGTCGGAGGCGAAATACTTGGGCACTTGGTAGAATTCGTATGCCGGCAGCTGTGCAGCCAGATGCCAGTCCTTGAGGTAGAGATTATCCTTGGCAACGTTGCAGTTTGGTTCCGTTGCCTGCAACTTTGAGTTGTCCACTTCCATGCTGCGCTGCCAGCGCTCCAGGAAGTCGTGAAACTTCAGCTCCAGCTTGGCATGGCTATTAAAATAGGTTGCATTGCAGTCGGCGACAGGCACGGCGAGATCGTCAATGCGGCTTTTGAGGTAGTCGAAATTGATGGGGCTGTGGTTGCGGGTATTGGCATTTGCAGTATCGGTATCGTTGTCCTTATGCGCCCAATTGCGGCACTCCCACGTGTTGGACACATCGGTGATAATTACCGGCCAATTGGCGTGCATGTAGCGCCAGTAGAATTCGTTGTAGCTCAACTCTGTGCTGTGGCGCCGCTGTATGTCAGTGTTATCCACATCTGAGTGTGGATTTGGTCGTGGTTGCAGCGCCAGTAGCTCCGGCGCCGCTTTCTCTGACGCCATGCCAGAAAAACAAAACAAAAAAACGTAAACAAAATATGACTAGAGATTTGAGTGTGCTATAAGGTCACGTATGAAGATAGCCATCAATTTCTCAGAGACCCTTCACCGCATAATATAACTATATAAATGACATTTATTAAAGAACAACTAATTGATAAATTTTGAATATTAACTTCATCGCAACAGAGAATATTTTGCTGTTTAAGTAGCATTTGATAATATTTCAATATATCAGAAAATTCTGTGACGTCACAGATACGCTGTTATATGCTCTCATTTAAATGTGCATAACACTGCTGCTTTGCTGTGGAGCCATTCTCAAAGAGGAGCAATAATGTAAATAGTAACATTTGAGTGCTCACTGTTAAAAGACAGTGTTGTTTAATAATGTTAGGTGCAAAACAGCAAAGCAGTTCGCTCCCCTTGAAATTCTGTATACTTAAAATATGTGCTGTTACCAGCCTGCTCTGTTAATTTTAGCAAGTACACAAACCATAAATAAAAACAACTTGGTTTTATTTTACTGCATTCTGTAGTCATTTTATTGAAATTTATTTGCTAAACATTTTATCCATTATTAAGATTTAACTACAATTTGGATTTTACATACAATATGTGTTTCATGTGTATCATTTCTTATATGCAATAACCCAAAGATCGTCGCAGTATTAAGTGACGTGTGTTTGAAGAATTTGAATTGAATTGTTATTATGTGTGAATTGGTTTGCTGTATAAGTTGCATATGCAAGTCCTATATAGCTATATATACGTATATATATTGTATATGTAGTATATGTATGTAAACTTTACAGATATTTCATGCTCCCGCCTTATAGGCAAACATTTAACCTAAAATCTAACGCTCCACTAACAACTTACTAAGTTACAATGTAATTGTAATTGTTATTTCACTTGTAATAATATGCATATTAAATGTAATTTGCTAGAAAACTATAGAGGTATACAAATCATAGAGGTGTGTATGCGTGTGTGTGAGTGTATGAGTGTGTGACTGTAGGTAAAAATCCTATATACACAATTACATACATACAAAATCGTATAAAATACGTCATAAAAAGTTTAACAATAGTTTTTAAATATTTGCATAGAAAATGTACAATTATTGAGTTTATCTTTATCTTTGCCTTTATCTTTTGTGTGTATATTTATTTACTTAGGGCTACGCACATTTGACTAAACTTTCTTTTGTTTTGTAGGTTCAGAAGGTACAGAGATACTGACAGAGTTTTCTTTTGTTTATGTTTAGGGAGAATTCATTCGTAGTTAGAGTATATATTTATTTTATTTTTTAT